TATCTTATCTTATCTTATCTTATTTTTAATCATCTTATCTTATCTTATCTTATCTTATCTTATCTTATCTTATCTTATCTTATCTTAAGAGGCGGCTGCTTTATTCTTGTTTATCAGCAAAATACGGCCTGAACCACTGCATCATAATGAAACTTTTAATCAGTTTAATGTTTGAAGTTCAGAGTTGTAAAGTAACTAAGTACGAATACTTTATTACTGTACTTAAGTAGAAATTTTGGTTATCTGTACTTTACTTGAGTAATTATTTTTTCAATGTATGTTTTACTTTCTACTCACTACATTTTTACACAACTATCTGTACTTTCTACTCACTACATTTTTACAAAGGTCAGAAGTAGGAAAAAAGCCACTGATGATGCAGAAATTAAGAAACTAACATTCAGTTTTGTTTTCTGTTAGCTTGTACACAAGCCATCACAGCTGCATGCCGTTAGAAAAAATGTTTTTTGGAGAAGTCAGTGTTGTATATAGTACCTGAAAGTGATACTCGAGTAAAAGTACAAGTATCTTATCAAAAAACTACTTTGGTAAAAGTTCAAGTCTCCTTAAAGAATATTACTTGAGTAAAAGTCTTAAAGTATCTGATTTATTTGGTACTTAAGTATCAAAAGTAAATATCTTACATAAAATGTAATTAAGGAATAAAAGTAAAAGTATTGAGTAAAAATGAGCATTTAAATTTCTACCTAAGTAGAGTAACAAAGTATTTGTATTTATAGCTACTTTACAACTCTGGGAGAAGTCACCTCCCTATAAATGTCATTTTGGAAAATCTAACTGCTCACTTTTACTCAGTACTTTTACTTTTAATACTTAAGTAGATTTTGTGTCAGAAATTTACTTTTATATTTAAGTACAAAACATATCAGATACTTTAAGACTTTTACTCAAGTAATATTTTTAGAGAATACTTTAACTTTTACCAAAGTATTTTTATGATAAGATACTTGTACTTTTACTCTAGTATCACTTTGAGGTACTTTATAAAACACTGCTGAAATTAACTTAATTTAAAAATGTCCACTGCAGCCACGTCAAGAAACACAAACGACTAATGTTTATTATTTATATGAGTTTGGTGTAAAAGCTGAAACTGATCTTTGATGCAGGGGCGGCGACAGATTGCTCAAAATATGTCAGATT